AGTGAAATCACCACAGCCAGATAGAACACACGAATATGTGTAAAATTGCAAAGTTTGGTTGCGAAATGTTGTGAAATGCGGAAAATATAGCCTTGCAAATTTCGCAAATTTTGTATTGCGTGCTGAAATTGTTACCATTTTCGGCCCAAATGTGGTAGCAATTTCCGCACGCAATACAAAAGTATACAAAAGGCTATATTTTCCGCATTTTACAACATTTCGCAACCAAACTTTGCAATTTTACTCATTTTAATATGCTCTTTCTAGCTGTGGTGATTTATTTGCATCTCCTAGTTTTAAAATAAGTAATGGAAATTGTCTATATATTGTTTTCATTTCAAGGATAATTTACCACATTTAAGTTGTTTTTAGTTGATTTTGTGAAATCGGTCTCGTTTTCTAGGCATCTTGCAGCGGAATTACCCGAAGCGCGGAGACGATTGTTGAAGTTTCTATGTTGTTTTCTAGTTCATATATCATTGCACGAAGGTATAGAAAAAGTTTAAGTTATGTCAGTGTCATGTTGATTTCATCAACACGAGCAGAAGTTGCTTTATCAGATATAAACACGGGTGACAGCCGAGTGTTTTAGATCTAATAAAGCACGGAGGACTACGAGTGTTTTAAATGGCTTAAAGTGCATATGACATGAATATGATTATTTTCTTGAATGAAAGAACTCTTTCAGGGTTCGTAGCTGTCTTTGAAATCCTTGAAAGTCTTTAAATTTGAATGCAGGTCTTTAAGGTCTTTGAAAAATCTTCGAATTGTGTGAAAAAGCGAAGAAAGTCTTTAAAAGTCTTTAAATTCTTTAGTGATTATTTGATTATACGATTTCCTATAGCTAATAAAATATATTTATTGAAGCAAGATTTTCGCAAATATCGACGAAAAAGTGCATTTTAGGATGTGTTTTGACGGGACTAATTACCTGGTGAAAATGGTGCTTGTACATCGCAATTTTTCAACACCTGATTGCTCTCAAAGGTCTTTTGAAAAGTCTTTGACAATAGACACAAAAAATCTTTGAAAGTCTTGGAAATTTTTTGGTCTTGGAGACTACGAACCCTGTCTTTAAGCTATGCTATAGAGTAACTTATTTTTCAGTTTCTTGATTTTATGGTTCGTTCCCGAGATATTTCAATTTGTTTGATATGTAAATGATGTGAATATGTCCGCTAATTTATGACGTCACGTTGGTTGCAAGTTCAACTTACACTGGCTATAAATGTACTAACTCTAAAAACTGTAGATATCTGTTCACGTTTTTCTACAGTGTTTCATCACATTTACCAGTGAGTGAAGTTTGAAATTATCATCTTGGATGATAGCAGTGATATTGAACCATTTCGAAGAGCTTGCAACCAAAGTGACGCCATAAATTAGCGGACATATTCGCACTCATTTACATATCAAACAAATTGAAATATCACGGGAACAAACCACAAAATCAAGAAAATGAAAAATAAGTTACACTACAGATAACAGCTTAAATAAAGAGTTCTTTCATTCAAGAAAATAATCATATTCATGTCATATGCACTTTAAAAACGACCCATCTTATGAGTTCATTGGCGAAGTAATTTTAAAAATAAACGTTGTCTTAGCCGAGAAAATCAAAGTTAAGTTTATGTAAATGACATGATTTTTTATCGCATAAACCACCGACACGGCAATGATTTTCGCTTTTCCTCATGAATTATTAATGAGTGTTTGAAATAACATTTAAAAAATTCATTAATAATTTACGAGGAAAATACAAAAGAAATGAATGTTTAATCAATTAGCCATTCCGAAGTTGATGAGTGGACTGGGGACGAGCGTTAAAAAGTGCCCAAATTAAGAAATGAACTAAATCACTAAAAAGACCACCTCAAAATAAGTAAGTATACAAAGTTTGACGACGTTTACAAGAATATCCTTCGAATAATAAGCTTTCGAAATGGTGATATTTACTATGAAATGTATTGTAATTTTTGTTTTTGGGACGCGCGTCCCAAAAACAATCTTTTAATCAGTAATTTCACAATTTTTGAAAGCTCATTATTCGAAGGGTATTCATGTTAACGTCTTCAAACTTTGTATACTTACTAATTTTGAGGTGGTCTTTTTAGTGATTTGGTTCATTTCTTAATTTGGACACTTTTTAACACTCGTCCCCAGTCCTCTCATCAACTTCGGAATGGCTAATGCTGTGCTGAGTGGTTATATTACTACGTTAAAAAATAAGCAGAAACTCGACGTTTTGAGCGAAGGCCCTCCGTCAAGAGTTAGTGAAGGCGAAGGGCCTTCTCTCGAAACGTCGAGTTTGTGCTTGTTTTTTAAGGTAGTAATATAACCACTCAGCACAGCATTTTCACATTGGTACTACCTACACTGGTACAGACAGTTTATGTTTAATCAATGTTTGTAAATCGGATAAAGATTTGTCCTGATTTACATAAACTTCAGCTTCGATTTTCTCGGCTTAGACAATGTTTATTTTTAAAATTACTTCGCCATTGAACTCATAAGATAGGTCATTTTTTAGGTACGATCCGATCTGTATCTGATATATAAACTCCCGCCTTCGGCTCGAGTTTGTATATCAGATACAGATTGGCTGCTCATGTTTTATCTATTACTTAACGAAAGTTTGTGCCATCTGTTATATTTGATGTAGAATATGATTCTCATGCATGGGCATTTTTAAAACAATTTAAAACTTGACCTAAGTTTTTGCAACGAGAAATTCGAGTATTTCTATAGTCGAGTTGAATTCTTCATTTATTGTTTTAGATTCGAACAAAATGAGTCCAAATGCTTTGGCAATTGTATTTTCACCAAATATGTTCAAATGCATTGATGGGATAGAAGGTTTCCGCGAGCAATCCATTACGAATAGCATTGTCGGCATGTTCATTGAAGATTACGATACCATTTTTAAGGCAAGTGAAGTATTTTTTTTATGCTTGATAGCTAATTCTGAAAATTACATACAGTGCTAAATACCTGATTATTGAAATGACTAAATACCTAATTTATTTTGTAGTTTACACAGTTAGCAACCTTTTTAAATATATCTGGCGGTTGAGAAACCCAAAATAATAGTTAAATATTGTCAATTTAAATACAATTATCATTGATGCTGTAAAATTGACACCATATTTATACAGCAATATAAGCAAAACTGAACTTCAGACATCATTTTCTCTTTGGCGTACCATCTAAAATCTCTTCATTTTAGCATCATTTTACAGATAAACCACTAAACATACTTTTTAAGTGCAGTGGTCTAGCTCACGACCCCGATGGAAAGTTAGGGCTTAGAACGGGCCAAAATCAACGACGTGACTTATGCATGTAGTGTACGTATATATCGGTGTATTAATGAATTATGACTGTACAACTCATTCAATTTTGCCCTTCATTACAATTACTACAAAGTTTCTTTCAAAACATTGCATTAAAAGGGTACTTGACACAGAAACGAATGGCTATCACTGTTTCAATTTTACAGAAAAAACTTTCTTACGAAGTGTAGACCCTGAACAACCAAAAAAGTCATATTTTCACTTTGATCTATCATTGAAACTTTCCCCAGGGGAGGTGCATGACCTTTCAGGAGAGGTGCACATCTCCCTGGCTCCCCTCAAAATCTGGCCTTGGTTTTTTCTATATCTCTGGCGATGATTCTGAAATATATTTGTTTACTCAATAGGATGAAAGCGAAGAATCACCAACACTCAGTAATTTTATTCAAGTGCAAGAGGCCAAGTAAGAATGATATTACACTCTGTATACAATGAATCAGATGCTTCGTACATCTTAAACGATAGAAATTCTATAGACCTTTCCCCTTTTGAGTGAAATTTTGATCTAGACAAGTCTGGACAAAAATTTCATCACAGCTTGAAAGAGCATCACAAAATTAGTTATATTACGAAGTTTTGTTGCGAAATGTTGTAAAATTTCCCGTTTGTAATACAATATGACTGAAAAACGGCAAACTTCGCAAGGCTATATTACCCGCACTTTACAACATTTCGCAACGAAACTCCGGAATATTACTAATTTTGTGATGCTCTTTCAAGCTGTGATGAAATTTTTGCCCAGGCATATCTAGATCAAAATTTCACTCATAAGGGGAAAGGTCTATTTGTTTCACTTTGTCTTCGATAGAGACAACAGTTTCACCGGTCCTCCAGCCATGCCAATTCCGTACGAACAACATAAGAAGTTAAAGAAACGAAAAGACAAAGAGGTAAAAGATTGTTTCTTAAATATTGTCACAACCTTGTGTAATCAGCCTTGTAACATTCTTGTTATATCATGACTGTATCAGACTTGTTAGAACAACCTTGTAACAAGTCTGATAATGCCATCAAGCTTGTTACAAGTTGTTAACAGCTTGTTTCAAACTTGTTACAACAACTTGGAACAAGCAGTGCGAACACAACTTGTCGACAGCTTGTGAACAGATTTGTAACAACTTGTTTGCAGACTTGTAACAACTTGTGCGTTTCTACGTGGTCGATGACAGTAACAGACTTGCTACAAGTTGTTTCAACAAGACTAATACAGGCTGTTCGTAACAAGTTGCTACAAGCTTGTTGTCATCAACTTGTTAACAACTTGTTACGTACAGATGATATCAGACTTGTTGGAACAACAGCGAGTCTGTTGCATGGCCTCGTCAACCTTGTTACAAGATGATAACAACTTGTTCCAGACTTGTCAACAACTGGGAACAAGCAGTGCGAACACATCTTGTTGACAAGCTGTCAGATTTTTACGCCTGTACTCAGAACAATCATCTACACACGTAGGTCTGCAAACAAGTTGTTACAAATCTGTTCACAAGCTGTCGACAAGTTGTGTTCGCACTGCTTGTTCCCAGTTGTTGTAACAAGTTTGGATCAAGCTGTTAACAACTTGTAACAAGCTTGATGGCATTATCAGACTTGTTACAAGGTTGTTCTAACAAGTCTGATACAGTCATGATATAACAAGAATGTTACAAGGTTGTTCTAACAAGTCTGATACAGTCGTGATATAACAAGAATGTTACAAGGTTGACGACACAAGGTTGTAACAATATTGTTATATCATGACTGTAGCGGACCTGTTGGAACAACCTTGCAACAAGTCTGATAATGCCATCAAGCTTGTTACAAGTTGTTAACAGCTTGTTCCAAACTTGTTGACAACTTGGGACAAGCAGTGCGAACACAACTTGTTGACGGCTTGTTGGCAGACTTGCTACGAGATGTGAGATTTTAGGGCGGCTGTCTCTTTTGGAATTCTATATGGTAGATAATTAACTTTTTATTATGTCCCTGTAGCCATCATCCCCTTCGCTTGAGGCGCCAGAAATGATCAGCCCCTACGCTGAATATCGTGTGGGCGATGACAACCATTTGACGATCGGTGAAGAACCGAAACCTAAGATTGAAAATCATGTTTATGCTTCAGTGAGCAAAGCTACGAGAGACGCCATAATTAACTCGACGTAAGTCACTTTTCTGTTGCACTATATGCTCAGTGAAACCAATAGACACTTCCCATTATAGACTAATTTTAAAACTAGGCAAGGAGATGCAAATAAATCACCACAGCTAGAAAGAGCATACTAAAATGAGTAAAATTGCAAAGTTTAGTTACGAAATGTTGTAAAATGCGGAAAATATAGCCCTGCAAAGTTTGCAAATTTGGTATACTTTTGTATTGCGTGCGGAAATTGCTACCATTTTCGACAACATTTCGCAATTTTACTAGTTTTAGTACGCTCTTTCCGGAAATATACTTTTTTGCCAAGATAAAAAATTAGTCTATAATGGGAATTGGCAACAGGGCCGCCGAGAGGGGGGCGGGGGGGGCAAATTGCCCCGGGCTTGTCAATTAGCCTTTCTCAAGGTCCATTTTTCCGCTATTTTGGAGGTTCTGCCTCTACCACGTTTGAGAGTCTCCGCACCACGAAATACAACTTTTCAGTATTTGTAGTTGTTTATATAATGGTAAATTTACGGTTACAACATTTAAAAGTCGTTTTTCACGTTGTTTGAATTGTCTAGAATCTTTCACGAGGGCAGACAGTACCCCAAAAATGGCGGTGTAAATTTTGTGCATTTCTTAAAAATTCTCAAATACCTTTAGCTGGGACGCATCTTCAGAAGAAGCCGAGCCGTACATACGATGTAATTCACCGTGTTGGCACAAACCAAATGGGTAAGATATAGTGTTTGTGATGTTACATCCTGAGTGTGCATCCACACCGGGCAAGCTGAAAAGTTAGCTTGGCCACGGTGGGAATCGAACCCGCGACCTTTGGGATACTAGTCCAATTAATGCTCTGCCAACTGAGCTACTCGGTCAAGTCGGTTCGAGTTGATAGGGTAAGATATAATTACACATATGATAGGGCCATTCCAGTGAGCTCTATATTGTATCTATGGATTCTGGAGTAAGAACCGCTGAGCTCTATATATCTGGAGCAAGAACATCAGCCTTTCGGTCTGTGCTAAATCTGCATGTGCATAAACACATATATAGTGTTCTGGCTGACCATGGTTTTAAATTCAAGGAATAATGTCTGTCAACTATATGTTGTTGCGCCCATAGTGGGACATGGGTGTTAAGGTTTCCTTCAAATTTTCAACAGCAAATCTTCATTTAAACAAATGTCCTGCAGCTGTTTTTAAACATTAAAACATTATTACATTTGAACATTTGTTAAAACATTTCCTACGAGCAGTGCTCGCCTATTTTTTCTACCCTTGAACGATATTATGATTTTATGAACTGAAAACGTGATCAGCATTACCGTCTGTTAGAAAAAAATGAAATTAGCTAGTTTACTTTTCTCATAGAATTTTGATCTAGACAAGTCTAGACAAAAATTTTATCACGGCTTGAAAGAGCATCACAAAATTAGTAATATTCCGAAGTTTCGTTGCGAAATGTTGTAAATTGCGGATAATACAGCCCTGCGAAGTTTGCCGTTTTTCAGTCATTTCGTATTACGCGCGGGAAATTGATACGTTTTTCGGAAAGCGGTATCAATTTCCCGTGCGTAATACAAAATGACTGAAAAACGGCAAACTTCGCAGGGCTATATTATCCGCATTTTAGAACATTTCGCAACGAAACTTTGGAATATTACTAATCTTGTGATGCTCTTTCAAGCTGTGGTGAAATGTTTGTCGAGACTTGTCTAGATCAAAATTTTGTTCATTAGGGAATAGGTCCATTCTTGCTCCAGATATATACATAGAGAGAGATCTCGCTGGCCATTCTATAGAACTTCCACTGATCTGAAAGTAGAACTGGATAGATCATCCCTTTGAATTCAATGACGCAATTTTGAAAGCCAGTGTAGTTTTTTTTAGCGAGGAGAGAGTTTTAACCCTTTCAAATTCTTTACCAATCGAATTACGTATATTAACACGTCGCATTTGATCTTTTAGCGAGCCTTCAAGTCCAAAAATGGAGTCTTCTCCCAAAACTAGAAAAGAGTGAGTTTTTAAGATACGATGCTGTCTTTCAAGTAATCTTTTCATCGTCTGATTGTAAAAATGTCTAATTGTCAAATTTTCGCTTCAAAGGTACATGGAGAGGACGATTAAAGAAAGCATCAAGGAACATTTGTTTGGACATAATTTGACATCTACAAGCGAAGTAGGTCGTTTTTCATTGAACTACAACCTGTAGACTGAAAGCATTAAGTCTGCATGGTTTACAGAATCAAAGTTTCTGTGATCACAGTAGGAATTTTGCCTAGGTAAATTCTACGTTTTGTAGGATTTGTAAGAAGTGTTTGAGGGAGTTAATTCCCTCAAACATTTCTTACAAATCCTATTACCCATGCAAAATACCTACTGTGATCACAGAAACTTTCATAGTGTAAACTCCAAATATATGCATGCATGTCAAACGTCTGTATTCTAAAAGCTCACTCACACTCAATGAGTGGAGGTTTAATCTGAGCTTCTCTTGAGTGTTAATGCTGTTTTTGAATAGCTGGAGGGTTAGTGTCATACCTTACTATGTGAGTACTCACCCTCCAGCTATTCAAAAACAGCATTGACACTCGAGAGAAGCTCAGATTGAACCTCCACTCATTGAGTGTGAGTATGAGTGAACTTTTAGAATATAGGCGAAAGTATTGAACTATATTCCATCATTATTTGTGTTTGACTAGTAGCCACAATAGGGCTGACATTAAATGATTTCCGTGTGAGCATTGAATAATGCAGTAAACACAAAAAGAATGTTTCTTTTCAATTCAGATTTTGTTTATTTTACAAAACTGGTATATCAGTACTAAAGCGAAACCACAAGATGCATAATTAACATTTAAGCCACAAGTATACGTATATTATGACTATTAATTGTATTCTTATCAGCGTTTACGTGTTTTGTATTAAAGAACGTGTATGTTATCGATGTCGTATCTTTTAAATTTGTGTGTAATCACACGGCTTTGCTAATAATTGCGAAACGGTTTCGGGAAAAATAACGTGAAAATGTATTGTGACATTCTGGTTAAAATAACGCAAGAATTCAGTGTAGGTATAGTATTCTATACTGTAATTAAGCTGTCGTGGTCTGTGTCTGAACTATCTCAAAATATTAAAAGCATTTTTAGTAAAGTCACTTCGTCAGCGAAGTACGAAGTGTTTTCGCTCGAAACGTTAAAAGGTTTCTAATCTTTGTTGTTGAGAGTTTGCTGTCATGAATTGTTACGGGAGACTTCTCAAACTTTAGATTAACAAAATAAAAGTTCGATGAGTGTTCCAACTATGTTTTAACTTCAATAGAATACACGATAGTGTTGGGAAAGCATTAAGAACAGCTAACCAAGATCGCGTGACTACCAGCTCTCATAGAAAAATTGTGTTTAATTCGTCTTTTGTTTTTAAACACAGGAATCTGACAAGTGGGATTCACCGGGCGAAGAAGGTAGGGCGGTTGATAAAATCTTAATGAAAAGATACGAAAAATCGTTTCATGTAAAATGTGTTGTTCTCTGTGTTATGATTGATATGAAAACATTTTTCGTGCGATGACCCCTGTTGTATATATCAACATATTTCAGCTCCGCCAGTACCTCCCAAGATTCCTGAATTGCTGTCGCCTGAGGATAACATAACCAGATCTCAGAAGCGTAGGAAAAGGCGAGGTTCCAAGTCCTCTCAGGAAAATGCAAAGATTTTACATGAAGGTAAGTTGGACAATAGAGTTAATTTAAACTAAACTAACTTTATTTATACTGGATAGCTCTATCAGTTCTAAATTGTTCTTCCAAGAGGTGCAGTAAGGATCATCTCTTATTGATCCAGTGTTACTACAGGAGGAAACCTAAACCAAATTAACTTTATTTATACTGGATAGCTCTATCAGTTCTAAACTGTTCTTCCTAGAGGTCCAGTAAGGATCATCTCTTATTGATCCAGTGTTATTACAGGAGGAAACCTAAACTAAACTAACTTTATTTATACTGGATAGCTCTATCAGTTTTAAACTGTTCTTCCTAGAGGTCCAGTGTTACTGCAAGATAAGAGATGACTCTTACTGAACCTTTAGGAAGAACAGTTTAGAATTGATAAATCTATCCAGTATAAATAAAGGTAGTTTAGTTTAGGTTTCCTCCTGTAGTAACACTGGATCAATAAGAGATGATCCTTTACTGGACCTCTAGGAAGAACAGTTTAGAACTGATAGAGCTATCCAGTATAAATAAAGTTAGTTTAATTTCTGTTTTTTATTCACGATCTAGAGTTAACAGATGCGACAGATGGCACAAAAGAATCAGAGACTCGACATAAACACAAGTCGGATCAAGAACTGGATCAGAGTGTCGTGAGATCGCCAAAACGCCAACATCGCTCAAAGTTGTCTTCTGACATGGACAGTAGACAACCATTGATGATTAACGTGGTGAGTTGCTTGGAGAAAATACAGGGCAAGAAATAACGGCCGGTTAACGGACAATGTCCGGCCAGAATGCGAAGTTGTCCAGTCAAATTCTTACCTTTCCGGTTATTTTGACCGGTCACTTTCGGTAAAAGAACAAACTAATCTTCATTTGAATTAATCATCAAAATAAAGTTGTCAAGTATTATATTTAAAGTGCCTATGA